TGGTACATGGTTCCAGAATGTCCTCAAGATTGTTTTTATTGGCTTAATCTCCCACCAATGGTATTTGTGAAGACCTGTTCCCCTGCAATCTTACAAACTGGTAATTATCAACCTATTTCATATTTATCAATCTGCTAGGCAAAATAAATGGAATTTTGTTATAATTTGTGTACCTCTGCTTATTAATGATTTCTAAAAGATGATATGACACTCCACAATTCAGGAGTGCAAAAGGCACTATTTCTTTATTTTTCTGTACTCAGCCTCTTTTCTCAGCCTTCGAGTCATCATTCCACCGGAAGGATGGAACCAATCTCAATTCCACACACTTTTCCCTGGGATTGCAGCCAAATTCCAGGGGACTAAGTGTGAAGGCATTGGGTGTGAGTATTGGTGTGTGTTTTGGGGGCTCCAGCTGACTGGCAATGTCCCTTTCCCCGCCCTCATACCTACTGGAATAAGATTGCCATATATCCATTTGACTCTTGGTCCTCTATCTGTCCCTGAAGGATAAGAGACAACAAGATGTCAAGATGTCCAGGAAGGGCTTTCCGTTCTGATAGCTTACTTTGCCATTTCTGAGGCCCCCTTTGGGCACAGGCATCACTGGGCTGCTCTGTGCCAGGCTGGCACTTGGGAGGGATTGTGAGGACACCTGAGGCACCCTCTGCCTGGACCTACCACCACTTCCCTAAGGCAGTCAGTACGGAACACCAAGCTGTTGAAATGCAGGGAAGGAAGAGCAGAGGGAGAAAGTAGATACCCAGTTAAAAACATCTGCTAATATTTCAGAGTATTATCTTACACTATTATTAGCCAATTGTACTAATCCTTTTGTGAGATGCCTGTTCTTGTTCTTTGCTTATGCCAACTATTTTCAATTTTCTCAGAGTACCAGACTCTCTTGCACTTGCAAATGTCTTTGTGCATGCTTTTTCTTCCGGTTAATTCCTGCTTCAATTCTTTGTATAATCATAGTTCTATCTCCCTCTAAATGAACATTTATCATGCTATATGTAATTGTATATTTATTCATTCATGGGCTGTGTAGACCATAAAACCTGCTAAAACAATTATCCTTCTCATTGAAATACTGTATTCCTTGAACAAAAGGACTGTGTCATAGACTTCTTTTTTCCTTTCTGAATATATTCTAAAACAGGTTTGGAAAAAGAGAAATAGTTTAAGCTTTTGATGAATACACTTAACTAAAATGGAGATAAATAAGCAGGAGTGGTTTAAGGTGCAACCTCTAGAATCAGAAAGAATTGAGTGAAGCTGGAACTTGTTATTTACTAGCTATAGGACTTACGGCAAGTTATTGATCCTCCTAAACCTCAGTGTTCTCATCTATAAAATGGGAAGCATTATAGTGACTTGATATGGAATTGCTTTAAAGCACAGTGCCTGCCACTTAGTAAGCAAACAACAAATACAGGTGATTATTATTAATGAATATCCACAGGTGGAGAACAGAAAGGCTGACATGCTTATAGTCTTCTACTTTGCTGATGCCTAATGGCCAGAACTGCAAATTATTTAAATCAAGTAATTTATACTAGAGAATTAGTGCTAGAGAAGCAAACAAAAGTGATTAATATTTTTGATGATTAGTGAATATGACTGTTTATTTTGCTACTTTCTGTTGGGCTGGTAAAAACATTGTATTCCGTGAGCTAGAACGTGATTGAATTTTTGAGTTTATATATTACTTTTTAGGAAGTGAGAGTTACATGGATTTGAGGCAGAAATTGTAAATGCAAATGCCGTAGAGGCAGCTACTACTCATGAATGAAGCAGGCAAAAGTGAAAGGATCAGGAGTGACAGGGATTGTGGCAAATGGGAGTGCCACGCCCCCCCAGGGGACCGCAACCCCTGCGCTCCAGCTTTGACAATGCAGGAATGCGGAGCCAGCCACATCTTCCGAGTTTTCAAGAGAAGTTGGAAATCTAGAGGTTTTTTTTTTTTTTTCCTTCCCCATGAAGTTTCTGAATTTCTAGAAGTTGGTAACTCATTCAAGCATTGTTTTAAAACACTGTGCAGGCCAAAAAAACCATGTCTGCAGGCCAGAGCTGATTCATCGGTCACTGGCTTGTGACCTTTGATTTGAGATATCATTAGCATTTTCAAGCAGCTAGAAATGTGGCAACTTTAGAGTTTAAAGTGCTGATAAAACATTACACGAACTTTGTCCAGTGTGAGGTGAACTATTTCTAATATCCCGTCTAATCAATGTGTATTAAACATAGGTTAATTAAAAAAAAAAGAAACAACAGCAAAAAAAAACCTGCACGTTTTTAACTCCTTTCATCCTTCAGCTAATTCTGTGTTGAAGTTCGGCTGGATCTGTTTTCAATCTTGACCTCCTGTGGAAATAGACCAGGGAGTTTCTAAGTAAACTTCATTCTCCTAACAGGCCTCTGCATGATATCAGCTGGAGAAAGCCCTGTAGCTCAACAGGCAGATGGCAGTAAGAAATTAACTTGAACTTCAGCAAGGCCAAGGTTTCCATGGGAACAGAGGAAGCAGCCCTACTGCCTGGCATTTGAACTGAATAGGAAACAGGCTCCCCATCAGCATAGTTTTAGAAATGACTGCAGCGTTCGACCATTCTCCCCAAGTGCTTTTTTTGTTTTGTTTTGTTTTGTTTTAAAGATTTTATTTATTTATTTGAGAGAGAAAGAATGAGAGAGAACACATGAGAGGGGATAGGGTCAGAGGGCAAAGCAGACTCCCTGCCGAGCAGGGAGCCCGATGCGGGACTCGATCCAGGGACTCCAGGATCATGACCTGAGCCGAAGGCAGTCGCCCAACCAACTGAGCCACCCAGGCGCCCCCAAGTGCTTTAACTTTAGCTAATAACCAGATAATAAATGATACTCAGGTACATGCTTAAATAGGTTAAAGTGTCTATGGGCATCAGATACGAGAAAGTGTAAGCATCTAATTGCTGAAATCCGAAAATCATTTATAAGCTTTAGCAGTCTCCATCACAAAAACTGTATTCTTTACTAAATGAGCCCATGACATGCAGAAATCATGGCTTTAATCTTATTTTACTATAAGGAATTCAAAATTCAAATAAATTTAATTTTTCTGTCAATGTGGGTTTTTTTTTTTTTTTTTAGGAATAACATTTACCATTAATATGTATTTTGTCTGAACTTCCGGGCATTCAGCATGTGAGGAGTAAGTGACTCTGGAGAGAGCGATGCTTTTCTGAATTATGACTGAAGAGGGTTCATTTCGCTTTGTGTCTCTCACCCAGGGACAGATTAACCTGGAAGCTGAGGAAATTTAAGCTTCGTTTCCCCTCACTTGAGTTGGCCTCTTCCAAGGCCCTCGGGTGAGCTTCCAGGCTGTTCACATCGCCATATATTTTTGTAAAATTTGTAAAAGATATTTTAATTGCAATGGTTAAGACTAATGTCCGTTTCCACTCAGACTTACCCTCCATCATAATCCCCTCATGTTGAAAGATGATGAATGGCCACGGGTATTTTTGGGCTGTGGGTAAGGGAAGTTGAGTTAGGGATATATTAATTATGGATTTAGTGGGATATGTGTATGTGGGTCACAGTTTTGTGTACGGGCATGTTACTGCCAGTTGTCCTGGAGTCAGAATAATTTCTAGAAATATGCCTACTGCCCACTCTGTTAATCCACAATGTGTCGGTCCCAGGATACCAAGGTGCCAGCTCAGAGGCTGGATGGTGACATGGGTATGTGTCCCATGGTGCCTGGCAATTGGGATGTAGGTGTGGGGGAGAAACAAAATTGAGTGGAGTCAGGATCTAGCCTGTGGAAAATGCTTTCCATCATCAGACAGGTCAAGTTATAAATGGGAGATTTGGCTCTCAATGGGTTCTAGACAAATTGGAAGCTCTAGCCTATGAGAAATAGTCTTGACAATGCAGGGTATACAGTTATAAACATGCGAACATTTCTTTCTTTCTTTTTTTTTTTAAAGATTTTATTTTTAGGGCGCCTGGGTGGCTCAGTTGGTTAAGCGACTGCCTTCCGCTCAGGTCACGATCCTGGAGTCCCGGGATCGGTCTCCCTGCTCAGCGGGGAGTCTGCTTCTCCCTCTGACCCTCCACCCTCTCATGCTCTCTCTATCTCATTCTCTCTCTCAAATAAATAAATAAAATCTTTTAACAAAAGATTTTATTTATTTGACAGAGAGACACACAGCGAGAGAGGGAACACAAGCAGGGGAGTGGGAGAGGGAGAAGCAGGCTTCCCGCCGAGCAGGGAGCCCGATGTGGGGCTCGATCCCGGGACCCTGGGACCATGACCCGAGCTGAAGACAGACCCTTAACGACTGAGCCACCCAGGCGCCCCTTTGCTGAACATTTCTTATGGGCATTGTGGGATATGGAATTTATCAGAATTCCTACAATTAAATTCCCATCTGCATGACCATGAAACACTGTTGACAAAAGTAATGTAAAACTGAATACATAATTACCACAGGAACGTTGGTGACAAAACGGTTAATGAGAACTGTTGATCCAAAGAGCATTTAAGATGCCTCATGACTCCAGTAACTTACAAGAAACTTGCAAGGCCTGAAATCTCATAACTCATATAAAAAACTTGATAGGTTTTCCTAAATTTGATAACAATTTTGAAAGTTTATCTCATTTTGTCAACAACTGTACAGCTGAAAGAAACTTTCTGACCTATCAATAACAAAAATCCAGATTTTAATATTGCCACAGTCCAGCAACTCCTAACATTGTTAGTGATAAAATATTCTTCTCCCACAAAATCATCTGCTGGTCTAAGTTCAAAACAATTACTGCTGTTACTGTTGAGTTTTTACAACATAATATGTGTAATATGTTAGTTTAAATTAGTCCATCTCGTGTTACTTGTTCTTTAATAAGCATTATATACTACGTTGGAGTTGTGTTCGATAAACTCCCAGTTCTGCAGTCAACCTCAGATACACACTGATGCAGCTACATGCTATTTTCTTTTTTTCTTTTTTAAGATTTTATTTCTGTATTTGAGAGAGCAAGCGAGCGAGAGAAAGAGAGAGAGAGCACGAGAGAGGGAGAGGGAGAAGCAGGCACCCCGCTGAGCAGGGAGCCTGATGCGGGGCTCGATCCCAGGACCCCAGGATCATGACCTGAGCTGAAGGCAGATGCTTAACCAACTGAGCCACTACGTGCTATTTTGAGAGTAAGTTCATAATGCTTCAGAATTGTTCCAATTTACTTCACATTTTACTTAGGTATGTCTCTAACCTCTGTCATAATACACACTCTCTGCATGCAAAACAGTAGCTGCCAAATAAAAAATGATAGCATGACAATTGTAAATATGAAGAAATAGAACCTGAGTTACTTCCATGCTGTTATTCTTAGTGAAAATCAACCTCTGAACTTTGCAGAGTTTACTTTTTGGAACCACTTTTACATGTGTTTTCTCCCCCCATTTTAAAGAATATAGTAGTGTAACTAAAAATATTAGTCTATTACTTTTGTCCTTTCTGTCTTTTCTGTAATGTATTTTGTGATTTTTATTATTTTATTTATTCTTATCATGAGTATATAAAGTCTAATAAAAGAAAATTTCAGTGAAAAAAAAAAACAAACCAAATGTGAATTTACCATGTAGGACACAAGACGGAATAGTCTCTCTCTCTCTTCTCTCTACGGAAAATGATAATACAAAATGTCATATGAAGTAATCAAAGATACAACCCAAAAAAGGTAGGAAAAAGCCCTACAGAGATGTGTCAGGCAGGCAATTAACAAAAATAATTTTATTTTTCTGGATTTTGTAATGGTTAGAGTATTTGATAGCCTCTTAAAATTTATAATTTATTTCTTTTATCATTCTAAATAAATATTCACGTTCAAACCCAATTTTGTATTTGTAATTTGTAGAAGCTTCAGGCCCAGTAAAACCTAGATCTACCCTTGTTCTCATTCCCCCATAACAGCAAAGTCAGTTTTTAGAGAAGAATTTACAGAGAGTAAAATGCACAGATCTTAAATGTACAGATTATTAAATTTTTACCTATTTATATGACTGTATCACCAGCATCCATGAAGATGAAAACATTTCCATCACCTCAAAACAATGAAAATTTCTAATATACTCAGGTTTAAGAAATTAATATATCCATAAAACAAGAACATTTTGCTAAGAAAAAGCAATACTCAACACAAGCAAACTCTTAGTGATAAACTTAGTTACTAAAATTAAAAATTCAACAGAAAGACTAGAAACTCAGGTTGAGGAAGTTGCCCAGAACATCAAGGAGAAAGACAAAGAGATGAAAAATCTGAGAGAAAAAAATGAGACATAGGGAACCAGGGAGAGGAACAATTCCAACAAACAGGAGTCCCAGAAGAAAGAAAATGGAAGGGAGTAAACTTTGAAAGAAATGAACATTTGTAGACTTGATGAATGACACGACTTTTCAGATTTTAAGGAGTTTCTCACTACCCAGAAGATCAATAGTTCAAAAGTGTTTTTACTTGCATTTTCTTACAAAATCTTCTTAAAATTTTGTGAGACAAATGCAGTTGGAAAATTAAAAAGACTAAAAATGAATATGTCAGAAGTGTATTGACTTTCATGATAGATTGGCTCAACCTATTTGTTCTAGGTCACATTTGGCCATTGTCATTCACTCATCCATCCTTCCATCCATCCATCCTTCCATCCATTCATCCATCCATCCATCCATCCATCCATCCTTCCATCCATCCATCTATCCATCCATCCATCCATCCATCCATCCATCCATCCATCCATCCTTCCCTCCATCCATCCATCCATTCAGCACTTACTTGGTGCTAAGCCGTGGCAGTGCCAGTCTCAAAGGAAAGGACTGATTCTTACTATACATTTAACCACAGTACAGTATTATATGTGCTATGGTGGAGGTATAAAGAAGCAGTTATCCCAGTATTTCTCATTGCCATTAAATAATGTCTCATATATATATATATATATATATTTTTTTTTTTCCTGGACTTATTATGCTTTCTGAATCTAATGATTCATGCATTTCGTTAATTCTAAAAAAAATTCTAGCCATTATCTTTTGAAATGTCACCTCTCCTCATTTTCTCCATTCTCTTCTATAATTCCTAGTGATTATTTTGTGGGAAATTTGTATTTTCTTAACCATTCTTTAGTACTTTTTCTTATTTTTCTCTGCTTCATTCCATATAATTTCCAAAGATCTGTTTTCCAGTTCACAAATTTTCTCTTCGCTTGTGTCTAACCTATACTTTACCCCATCCTTTGTGTTTTAAATTTATGACTATAATTTTCTAGTTGTTCTTCTCATACTTGTTCATATCTGTGTGTCCTTTTTACTGTGTCTTGTTACTTTCTTCTGTTTGGATTCATTATCCTATGTCTTTAATCACTTAAAAATTTATTTTATAACCTTTACTGATAGCCCTATTAAATGAATTTCTGGGAAACCTAATTGGGTTCTTTGTCGTGCCTCTTGAATTTTGTTTAGATTACACGGTTTCTGCATGCATTTTGTACTTTTAAATTGAAAACTGATCTTCATTAAGGTTTATCTGTGAGAGCCCCATGAGGCTTAGATGGAAGGCATTTTCTTCCAAAGGGATTTTACGTTCACTTCTTCTAGGGGCCCAAGAGGCCCTAGACCAAATTGTAAGTTACTTTTTTAGCTTGAGGGGCCTTGGATCGTGGGTATGTTGTCTATAAAGAGGATTAGGCTTTTGTTTACACATTCTCAAGGGAGGTTCACCCATATCTCCCACCCCAGAGCTGAGGTCAAGACAAAGAAACGTCCTTATCGTCTCCCTCTGTGGTGGTGGAATATTTTCTGGTCCAGTCTCTCTCTGTGGGATTAGTGTGTATATGTGCATGTACGTGTGCATGCGTGTGCGTGCATGCACGTGTATGTATGCATTACTGCTCAGTTGCATTCTCCACGTGCCACAGGCAAAGGCCCTCAACTTCCAGGACTATAGCCCTAGCCCTAGGTTTCTGAGTCTAGCGGCCACTGTGCACCATGTCTCTCCATGGGATGGCCAAGGGTCAAATCATGGATTTGCTGCTCTAGTTTTATCTTTCCTTTCCATTTTGCCTCCTGGGGAATCTCTGTTAGTCTCTTTTGAGCTCGGCTCTTCATGTAAAGAATATTTTATTTATTTTGTGTGGCATTTCTAGGAGTTGTGTAGCAGGGAAGTTATTCAGTCAGTCATAGTCTGGGAAATTGAAATTGTTATTCACATTCTTTTTTTGATTATTATTATGTCCAGTTAGCCAACATATACAAAGCTTCTGCACAGCCAATGAAACAGTCACATTCTTTTTAAACGGCTTTAAAAATCAAAGCAATGACAAATTGAGAGTGTTTTTCGGAACCCTCCTTAAAGATTTCCATACCTACTTTGCTGTGTGGAGAACCCACCACATTATGGGAAGACAAAAAGAGAGGTGACTAATTTTGACTTGGTTGCTAAGGAAGTGGCCAGAAAGGTGACAGTTAAGTCAGACTTTGGGGAATGAGAGATTTAGTAACCTTATTTACCACCAACCATTACTCTCCAAACTATTTTACACGGTGAAATTTAGACTTAATCTTTGTCCAATTGATTTACCTCGTTTTATATATTAATAGATATACATATTTTAATACACGATGTCATCAAAGTTATTATTATCCACTGATTTCTAAGTGGCAGGCAAGGAAGCCGATGCTCTATCGATAAAACTGAAAACCCAGAAAAGCTAAATAACATTTTCACTCATGTAACATAATGAGTGACAGGGCTGGATTCAAACTTGAGTGTAGCAACTGTAAAATGTGCCCTTCGGGGAGCTTAAGTGACCAAAGGCCCCCGCTGCTGTGCTCTGAAGTCCATTGCCATGTCTCCATTGAGCCCGGCTTTCCACTGGGCTGCTCGCAGCCAGTTACTAAATGTGGCAGGGATACTAAGGCAGGCTTTTTTCCTGGAAGACCCGGGACTCCTCTGGCGGGGGACTGGCTCACAGACCTCCTCGCCAAACCTTTCTCAGAGTGAACGGCAGCCTTAGATGACACTCTGCCTGACCTTCCTTCCTTCTCTTTGCTTGAGGACACACTTGCATTGTGCTCTGACTGCTTCCCCAGCATTTTCTCTCAAAGTCACGTCCCCGATAAAATCCTTGCACGTTTAACTCCATCTTGGTGTCTGCTTCTCCGAAGACCCAGACTATCACACCTAATTTGTGTGACCTCAAAACCCATGCTTTTACAAAAAATAACTAAAAACGGACTAAAGATCGAAATGTAAGAGGGACAACTGTAAGACTGTTAGAAGAAACACAGGCATCAATCTTCATGACCCTGGATGAGGCAATGCTTTCTTAGATATGACACCCAAAGCACAAGCAACAAAAGAAAAAATTGATATCTTAGACTTCATCAAAATTAAAAGCTTTTCTGCTTCAAAGGACAGCATCAAAAAAGTGAAAAGTTGGGGCGCCTGGGTGGCTCAGTTGTTAAGCGTCTGCCGTCGGCTCAGGTCATGATCCCAGGGTCCTGGGATGGAGCCCCACATGGGGCTCCCTGCTCTGCGGGAGGCCTGCTTCTCCCTCTCCCACTCCCCCTGCTTGTGTTCCCTCTCTCGCTGTGTCTCTCTCTGTCAAATAAATAGATAAAATCTTAAAAAAAAAAAAAGTGAAAAGTCAACACACAGAATGGAAGAAAACATTTGCAAATTATATATCTGATCAGGGACTCCTATCTAGAATATATAAAAAACTCTTATAACTCAATGATAAAGAGAAATGACTCAATTAAAAAATGAACAAAGATATGAATAGATGTTTCTTTTTTTTTTTTTTAAGATTTTATTTATTTATTTGACAGAGAGAGATACAGCGAAAGAGGGAACACAAGCAGAGGGAGTGGGAGAGGGAGAAGCAGGCTTCCCACAGAGCAGGGAGCCCGATGCGGGGCTCGATCCCAGGACCCTGGGATCATGACCTGAGCCGAAGGCAGGCACTTAACGACTGAGCCACTCAGGCACCCCATGAATAGACATTTCTCCCAAGAAAATGTGCAAATGGCCAATTGTACGTGAAAGATGCTCAACATCATTAGTCATCAGGGAAATACAAATTAAAACCATAATAAGATACCACTTCACATCCACTAAGATAGCTATAATAAAAAAATCAGAAAATAGCAAGTGTTAACAAGGAGGCGGAGAAATTGGAACCCTTCTACCCTGCTGGTGGGAATGGTAAATGGTGCAGCCATTTTGGAAAAATGGTCTGATAGTTTATCAAAAGGTTAAATACAGAGTTATTGGGGCACCTGGGTGGCTCAGTCGGATCAGGAGTCCGCCTTCAGCTCAGGTCATGATCTCGGGGTCCTGGGATCTAGTCCCGCATCGGGCTCCACGCTCAGTGGGGAGTCTGCTTCTCCCTCTCCCACTCCCCTTGCTTGGGCTCTCTCTCCCTTGCTGTCTCAAATAGGTGAACAAAATCTTTAAAAAAATAAAAAAAAATAAATATAGAATTATTGTATGACCCAGTGATTCCATTTAGCATTTAGCAAGACAAATGAAAACATGGGTCCGCATAAAAACTTGTACAGGAATGTTTATTGCAGTATTGTTCACAATAACTGAAAAGTGAAAACAACCCAAATGTCTATCAACTGATGAATGGATATACAAAATGTGGTATACCCATACAGTGGCATATTATTTGCCCATGGAAAGGAATAAAGTACTGATACATGCAGCCACATGGATGAACCTCGAAAACATTATGCT